AGAATGGCATGACCAAGCTACATTTTATCAGGCAGCTGTCCTTCATAATCTTAGGGTTTTGGAAATCTTGGACTCAATTGTTGAGGCGTTGGAGGAAAGAAGAGACCAAAGGCACCAGCGGGATAGGGAACAACTGTTGGAGATCAAACTGCCACCTCCCATAGCTTATGGAAGCCATGAAATTGAAATGAAATGCAAGGATTGTGTTATTTGCATGGAGGACTTTGAGACTGACCAATTGTGCCAAGTTTTTCCCTCGTGCAACCATACTTTTCATTCCAAATGCATGAACACTTGGTTGAAGAAGAGCCTAACTTGCCCCATTTGTCGTAACAGTGTACTAGATTTGTGAGGCATGCATGTGTCTAGGTGAAATTTTTTTGTAAATACAAGAATTTTAATCATCATTTTTCGTTCGCTTGTCATCTTCAAGACGAGAGCCTACCATGGTGCAAAGCCCGTTCTTTCCTAACGGCAATGTCCTAGTGATGGCTTTGCTGCTTTGTCAAAGAAAATTGTGATGGCAGTTGCAGAGCTAATTCTATGTTTTAAGGGGCCAACAATACAGATTTCTTACTTCGGGGGAGCGAATCTGTGTAGATTTTTCAATGTTCTCAGCAATTACAGAAGTTTAATATAAGTTTTACATGAAATATTGGAGTTAGGGGAGGCCACGACCACTTTGGTAGCAGGGCAACAAAGTTTGGTGGTTCGGGCAAGTTTCGATGTTACTCAAGTGAGACGGTGGAGGTCGAAGCACTTCATGTATGCTTTCTTTAGCCGGGGTGGACATCTCGCGGTGCTTGAATGTGATGCGAAAGGTTTTAATTGCGGCTTTGTAAGGGACTTGTGTCTTAAGTGAGAACAGTTTTGGAGGGCATTGTTCATGATATGTTTGTGCAAATGCGAACCAAATTGATGCTCTCTCTTATTTCATGTGTGCCTCATGGTTGTGATATAGCTGCCTGACCATTTGGTTGCATCTCATAACTCTAGAGGAGATTTAATATGCTTGCTTCTCATTATTCTTGAAAAGTGTGTACACACTTTCTCTATAATTTTGAAGAAAAATATATATATTTGTAAATGCAACACCTTTATTCATTTTATAAATCTCACTAGAAAGAGAAAAAGAAAAGAAAAGAAGAAGGTATTTTGCTCATGATTTGAGAGTTCCGTTCACAATATGGGACCAAATTCAGGGAAGGGGTAGTGAGAGAGAGGAGGAGCGAAAGAGAAAATGTATTTAAATAGTATATCCGGGCGGCTATACTATGATTTTTTAAAAACTTAGTATAGCCGGCTTGTTTTGGCCCATTGGCGCCTAATCACCAAGGAGCACCTTCCCTTCCCCTCCCCCCAAACACAAAACAACAAAAAAAAAAGGGTATAGCCGTGCGGCTATACTATGGTTTTAAAAGTTTTTCTTAAATAGTACAGCCGCTCTTATTTTGACACATCGCTGGACGGGTCATTTTTTTAAATAAATTTCTTTAAAACAGTATAGCCGCTCGGCTGTACTGATTTGGGCGCCGCAACTCTATTTGTTTAGTATAGCCGCACGGCTCGAATAGTTTCAAAAATAGTATAGCCGGTCGGCGATACCCAATTTTTTTTAAAGTAGTATAGCCGCCCGGCTCTAATGGGTTATTTTTTTAATAAAAAATTTCTTCATAAATAGTATAGCCTATACTCTTTATATATATATATATTGGGATCCTTTTTTTCTTTTAATTTTTTTTCCCTATTTCCGTTTATCGATAAGAGTAATTTAGAGTATTATCCATTACTATTAGGTCATTACTCGAGTCTCTATTGTGTCTTTTTAATATTTTTACATCGGAAAAAATAAGGAATTTTTTAGTCTCGGTCCCCTCTCTCTCCCCTTCCCCCGGGTGATGGAGAGATTTTCCTGCAAGCTCTGTGCTTAGATTTTGTCTCATCCTTGGTTTATGGCACGGTCTTTTGTTTCCTCTAGTTTTCTTCTAAGTCATTGGAAATTTCCGATACAACCAGTTACACGACTCAAAACCTGCACGATAAAAATTCAGATAATTTTCCGATTAACCTGCCATGACCCATTTAATAAATTGGTGGATTTTGAGTCAACCCGTCAACTCATTAAAATATCTATATAACCCGTTATTAAATGGTTTCTTATTATTTTTTAAACTAAAGAAGCAACAAGCAATGATTTACAGCAGCAGTTTATTAGAGATGGATCTTTCTGGCCATCCAAATTACTAGTATATGATGTATTTCTACCTGTTCCCTACTAAATAAAGCGTCTATTCGAACAATAAAAAAGAAAAAAGAAAAAGAAAAGCTTCATTTTCCCTAAAATAATAAAAGGGAACGGGCCAAAAGGGTAGTTTTGAGCACTATCCTACCTTTGAGTTTGAACTATTATCGGAAGTAACTTTTCGACAAAATTGAGAAATCAAACAAGCCTCTATAATATAAAAATGTTCGTTATAGTATAACCTCCTCTCACAACATGCACGTAGGTACCTGCCGTAACTAACGGGTGCCCAACTACAAAGCCAATACTATAACTAACAAAATAAACCTTCACTTTTGTTGTTCCCTTGTTGGTTAAAAAAACAGGTAATAACAAAAATGAGCCTCAATTTTTAGAACGAATCCAGACCAAGCAGATTTGTGTGTTATATGGTGTGCCCTACTCTACCTTGATGTTAATTAGTTGCATAACAAAAAAATCCCAGAGGGGTTTTAGCAGTTCTGGCACAACAACTTCCATGGATGAGCATAAACCAAACAAGAAACCAAAAATGCTGCACAGGGCTTTCATGAAAGCATTCTTCAACCATGAACACCATGGTTTCTAATACCAGCATTCTTCATCAACCTTCTCACAGCCCTCTTAGTTTCTTGTCTTGCATTTTTGCTCTTGGGATTGTAGCTTCGTTGTTCCTACTAGGCCACACAAAATTCACCACTATCAGCCGTCTATTTTGGATCGGCAACTTAGCTCTCTGCACTGCAGGTTTATTTCTCATTGCCTTCATGCATCACATTGTCGGAACCATATTTTCTTGGTTTCCAAACAGAAGCCAGAACGATCACGAAATTGGAGACGACCGATCTCCCCATCATCATGATCAAGATTCGTTGCAACAAGCACCTGCACAAGATATTGTAGCCCTGTTCCACATGGTGTTGATGGAAGTGCTAGATAGGGTTTGGGAGGATTTGGTGACGGAGGAAGGGCCAGAGCAACGTCCTCAGGCTGTGGCCCTCCAAGTTCAAGCCTTGGAGGCGCTCCCGCCGCCTTTGCAGTACTGCAAGGGCGGTCTTGACATAACATCGAATTGCTGTGGGGATCGGTGTACTATTTGCTTGGATGATTTCGTGGATGGCGAGTCTTGCCGTGTTTTCGCATGCAACCACATGTTTCATTCAATTTGCATTGATCCTTGGTTAAAGAACCACCTAACTTGCCCAATTTGTCGAAACTCTGTTGTACATGTCTGAATTTGTAATGTAATTTGCAAATTTTTTGTTGCATAAAGGTCTCAAAAATTCATTTCAATTGTTGTACCATAAAACAAGTTTTGAAGTATTTTCAAGAGACAAACTTGTTTCTCCCCTAAACTCTCTGTTTCTGTGATACAAAATTTATATTTGGTGAAAAGAAATATGGTCCAAATAACAACTCACTTAGTGATCTAAACACACCAAAAACATCACAATGCCAAAAAGAGAAAAGAAACCAGAAAGCCAAGGGACTCAATAAATACTAAATTATTGAAATTAGTCTATCGCTAACAATGGCGATACCTTATAATCAAAAGCATCCAACCCGAAACCAATTAACAAAAAATAGAAAAACCTAACAATCACAGTCATCATCATTATTATCATCATCATCATCATCATCATCATCATCATCATCATCATTATCATCATCATCATCATCATCATTGCTCCACCAATCTGTCTTCTCATCATCATTGGTTTCATCCTCATCCTCCCTGCTAGTGTCGCCAGGGGACCCGCCAGTCCCGGCCCTGCCCCGGAGACCAAAGCTAGAGTCTCCGGGCAAAAGGGGTCCATTTCTCACACCACCAAACCCAAATCCTTCAACCTTAGACGGTTCTTCGTACAGGAACCTGGATAGAGACGAGGGTTCAAAGAGCGGCTTCTGAGTGGAAGACTGCGCAGATTGAAAGGACTGAATGATGGGAGTATCTGCAGCAGCAGCGGTTTTGGGAGGGGCTGCAGCCAAAAAGGGATTGCGGAGGAACAAGAGTGGGGCTTTGGGGGCCTTGAGAAAGGATTTGGTTGCCATTGATGGACTGAGAGTTTTGGTGGCTGCAGGGAAAAATGGGTTAAGGGAAGGTTTCATATACAGAGAGGGTTTAGGGTTTTAGGAGGAGGTGAGGTTTTAGAAAATTAGGGCTTAGCAGGCCTTCTTGTTGTCGCCACGATTGTCGTTTCGGTTTGTTTTGTCAATTGAACTGGGCCAAGCAAGTGGCCCCACTTGATCCACCAAGAAAAATAAAAATGGGAAATTTATGGGCTTATAAATAAAACGCAAATGCTAAGTAATTTCTCATCCTAGATTAGATACATTTGAATTTCAGTGAGTTACTCTCCTACTAGGGATGAATTGGTAGCAATTATTATTTTTATTTATTTTTATGAACAAGGGAAGAGGTTTTCGAGCTTAGAACATCTTCTCATACCGAGAAGAAAAATACCACAAAATTAGGAGCTAGTTGGTTATATTAATTATGTTTAGAGAATTAAGTATTGTTTTTTACCTTATATGTTTTACCATAGCCTTAGTTGCTCTTTCAAAGGATCATATAGTCTATGTTTAGTCTAAGTTTTGCTCAATATTTAATGACATCTTTGATTTACAGTGGTTTGATTAGAAGTTAGATTTCTTAGTGTCATTAATTTCATAAACACATTCTATCAAGCTTTTGCAGCCTTGTAAAGACCCAAGGCAAATTGTAAACATGACTCAGCGTGATAGAAATTATGTTTGACGTAAATTCCCTCGAGCAAAATAACTCGAGATTCAGCTAAAAGTCCAGAATTAAAGAGGAAAAATTGATATAGTGATAAGTTTTACCATAACCTTAGTTGCCCATTCAGAGTATCATATAGACCATAACAATGGTAATACAAATATAACATCCAATTCTTCACCAAAACGACTACACGGCAGAATCCGAATCAGTGAAAATCATAATTCACAGCACACACTAAATCCCAACAAAATGTGACAACATCCCCTCTAATTCCATTCAATTCTTCAATAAGACTTCTTCTTTTTCAAGTCTTTTTTTGCCCAAGTCTTTTTCTTTTTCTTGTCCTCATCGTCTTTGTCAATTCTACGAACAATACGACCTCTAGTGGTATCATAACGGCTGACTTCAACCCTGACTCTGTCCCCAGGCAAAATCCTGATGGAATTCTGTCGGATTTTCCCAGATATGTATCCTATGACGGTGTCTGCGTTGTCCAGTTCGATTCGAAACATACCGTTGGAGAGCGACTCCGTGATCGATCCTTCTTGGCTGAACTTCTGTTCCTCCACTTTCGGCGATTTTCTCATGACCACAATGCTGCTGGGGCAACTTTTGAGGCCGACAAGGTTGGTGTTGTAGTTGTTAATGCGAAGATGAGGCAGAGATTTTGGGTTTGGTTGGAATTTTACAGAGGATGGTGGGGTGAGGGGGAGGGTTAAGGTTTTGGAGTGGAGGAGGGAAGAGTGGTGGAGGATCGGGTGGTGGACTGATGAAGATTGTGAGGTTAACATGCTTTTTGTGGGCGGAGACTGAGATGGGGAGGAGGTAAGAGCACCACAACGAGGAACCACCGTAGGTCTTCACATTGTAGAGACTTAAGGGGGCTACATGTATATGGGCTTCAAAATGAGAAGGTCTCACAAACAAGGATCTCTAGAAGACAGCCCAACGGAGTTTGTAAATAAATAAAAAAAACTCAATTTCAATTTAGTAGCCCGAATTTTCATCCATAAAACAGGTTAATACTCGTATTTTCAAATTAATATTTAAATAAAAATTATTACAACGTAATTCGGCCGCTAGGGTACATACTATTGTGTTTCATAATTCTTATTTTAATTTTAGTGACAAGCTATTGTGTTTCGTAGTTCTTAATTTCAATTTTGAGTGTAAAATCAAGTTTAACTTAAATGTTTTTGTTTTCTTGGTATAAAGTTGGGAAGATTCGAACATAAAACCTTAGACACGGAGAGGTAAATGCATTTTATGGTGGCACAAATAAAGGATATAGAATAAAATTGCTATTGCTCTAGCACAACAACTATGGGAGCAACACAATATTGTACATTTGAATTTGCCATCCAACCCACATCACAAATTTCAGTACCCAAACCTCAAATCACATGATACAAATTCAAATTGCCAAACAACACAACATTTCTTCTCAACATTCACATTACACAACACAAATGTTCCAAATGTCACTTACAATTAAAATTACAAAACAAAAAACCAAAAACAAAAAAACAAAACAAAACAAAAAAAGATTCCCTTTTATCCTTCCCTTTTAAGTCTATCTTCTTTCTTAAATCTATAAACAATACGACCTCTGGTGGTATCATAACGACTGACCTCAACCTTAACCCTATCCCCAGGCAAAATCCTGACAAAATTCTTTCGGATTTTCCCAGATATGTATCCTATGATGGTGTCCGCGTTGTCTAATCGGATTCGAAACATACCGTTGGGGAGAGATTCCGTGATCAGCCCTTCTTGGCTGAACTTCTGCTCCTCCACATTCGGCGACTTGCTCATGGCCGCAACGTTTGGGCAACGCTTGGGGCTCAGAAGCTTGGTTCCGGCAAGACAGTGGCTGCTGCTGTTGCTGTTGCTGTGCAGATGGGGCTGAGGTTTTGGGTTTGATTGGAAACTGAGGGGAGAAGATGGGGTTGGGGTTTTGGAGTGGAGGGGAGAGTATTGGAGGATTGGGTAGTGGAGTGAGGTTAACATATTTTAGGGAGAGAGAGAGAGAGAGAGAGAGAGAGAGAGATGATGGTTTGTTTTTGTTGCTGTCTGTGTTTTGTGGGTGGAGAGAGACTCAGAGAGTGGAGGAGAAGGCAAGGGGATTGGGTTTGGGTATTTTGGGGAGTGTCTTAAGTAAATATTGGATGGTGTCAAGGGCAAATCTGTAAAATTATATTAATTTCTTTTGGCCTTTCCAAAGTTTTGTTAACTTTTTCATTTTTTTTATTTATACAAGCGATAATCTCTCTATATATAAAGTAAACGGTAGAGAATAGTAAAACATTTAAAATAACAAAAAAATGCCCTTGGTTAATACAAACATTAAGAATTGAAATTATTAATTAAATGAGGATAATATGGTAAATTCACATTTTTTCATATTAAAAAAATAAAACTAAAATAAAAATAAAATAATGGATCCTATTTTTATGAAACACAATTAACCCATTATCTTTTTTAATTCTAAACTAAATTTAAATTTAAAAAAAAAAAACCTATCGCAGGTGCAGAAGCACATGTAGAGAGGCTAGTTTATTCTAACTCAATTTAATCTAACTTTGAGAAATGACCCACTAGTGTAGTGGTTTGGAGCAATTGCTCCCTTATGAAAGGTTCTGGGTTCGATTCCTAGCATCCGTGTAGTGTGTGTGAGTTTAATATATTATCATCCTTTTTAATAGGAAAGATCCTTAAAAAATAAAAATAAAAAAATTACTTTGGCAAAACAAAAAGAAAAGTTCCCTAAAAATTCTTTTTCTATATAGTTTAACAAAACAAAACTAAATGTTGCAAATTAAGCAAATGGCCCAATAGTGTATTGGTTTGGATTAAATGTTCCCTCAGGACAGGTTATGAGTTCGAGTTCTAGCATCTGTGTAGTGTGCGTGTATTTAGTATAACATCGACCCTCTCAAAAAAAAAAGTCCTCAAAAAAAAAAATTTGCTGCAAAATAAATCATTATTAATGGTTGAATACTTACATTGATACATAATACATTAAAAAAAATACATTATAGAAAATGTATTACAACAAAAGTCAACAACACATCCTATTGCTAAGATTCTCACATGTTACTGAATAATAATATACATTTAGTTGTTGTCAATCTGATCACTAATTTATAAAATTAACCACGTATTCCTTCTTGATAATTACGAGTACATACATGACTTTTCTTATTTTTGATGCAATGTCAACCCTCTTATTTTTTTTATCAATTATAGGTTTTGTGATAACCATTATGGGATTTCTTTAATCAGGTTAGTCAAGACGATTTGACCGAGGTACATTGTGAACTTTCAGACACGAAAAGAGCTTTGGTTGATCTTGTGGATGATATTTGCAGTCAATTTGCCGAAAATGGAGGCTAGTTTGACATCTCAACTGGAACGTCTTAAAGTCCGTATGAAGTAGTTAATCATAGGCGATCCATGATATTTAACTTTGAGTTTCTTGTCATATTCATTTATGACTATGGAGAAACATGGTTAATCATTATCTTATCCTTCTGCTGCATCTTTCAATTTCGCCCAAAAACAAAAAATCTTCTACTACATCTTTGACTCTTTGTTCACACCTAAATCTACTACAATATGTTTAATTGCTTCCAATATCTCACATAATTTATGAACATGTTTTTTTTTCCTAAGATTGAGAATAGAAATATTTATCAGTATAGTAAGATTTAGTTGGTTTATGAATGAATTTGATATTTTACGACATGCTATAGTTTCATGACAATTAATTCTCTTAGAGGTTGATATCACATGTAATGAATGATTCATATCATGTTAGTTTTATTTGAAATATCCTGTCACACATTTGGCATTTATAATGTAATAATATAAAGGGAAATCTTATTAGGATCCAACAATTCTCTTTTGGGCCCCAACATGCCCAATTTTTTTATATACCCAATTTAACTTCCTAAAATACCCTCACTCAAGTAACAAACACAACCCAATTATCTCATATCCTCACTACATCTCAACTAAATTGACAACAATATATTTAATTGCTTCCAATATCTCACGTATTAATGCATGAATGATTTTTTTTGTTTTTTTGTTCAATGTGAGGAGAGGACGAATTTGGATTTGTAATCTCTCCAGACATTGGAAAAAGAAATAATTAAACTAAAGATTAGTTGACATATGAATGAGTGGGATGTTTTAAGACATGTTCAATTTCCTGTTTGGTATCCTATTTAGATCCAATTTTATAAACTCAAAAACAGATTTTAAGTTCAAGGCTCAAAAAACCTGTTTGGTAGGCCCCTTTTTAAAAACCAAAAACCAAAAAACAAACTCAAAAACACGCCTATCATTGAAAACAAAATATTGAGATTTTACGGTTCACCCCCCCCCCCCCCTTTTAATTCGGGAATTATTTTTATTTTCTGATTTTAATTTCAATTTTTTCAGATCTTGAAAATATTTTGAATTTCAATACCAAACAAGTTTTTAGATCTTAAAATTAGTATTTAAAAACTCATGTTTTAAAAATAATCATAATTTTTTAGTAGAATACCAAACGGGCCATAATTCTCTCATTATAATAGGTTGGTATCACATGTAAAGGGATGATATGTATCGTATTAATTTCAATTTTTTTTCTTTTAGGAGAAAATGTAAGTTTTTATTTCAATTATTCTGTCACACATATGGCATTTAAAAGGTATAAACTAAAGGGAAATTTTATTAGGACCCAACATCCTGACTACAACTACATCTCATCAAATTAACATTTCTTTCTAGACCCAACTTAATTTCCTAAAATACCCCCAACATCTCATTTCCTAGCTACACCCAACCAAACACACTTGAGATAGGTATTTCAAAAGATTTACTTTGAATTGACGAATTTTTCTTTTCAATCTCGTGTTTTTTTTTTCTCTATCGAATTTGACAAATTTGATGCATTACAGTGAATTTGTAGTTATTCTTTTATGTTTATGGTAAGTTTGTAAGAGTTCGATGAAGAGGGTGATGATGGTTTTGTGTATAGTGATGCAACTGTTGGATCTAGCAAAAAACAATCGTTTATTCTTTTACATATTTTGATGATAATTATATATTGGAATAAAATGAACAATTTCGTGAGGCTAGTAGATGAGGCTGTCTAATATCAAACACATTGCATCTGCACACTGTTGATGTTATTTATCTAAACAATCAAACAGTTACATTCTAAGAACCTATATTTCCCAAGGAAATTACTTGTCACTAGACCCTAGAACTTTCTCATAATCTTCATGTCCCCTAAATCTTCTTGGAAGGATACATCGTTCGCCAAACCGCTGCTGCAAGCAGATGATTGCAGCAAATAGCAGATATACAGAACAGACAATGACGTCCGGAGAGCCGGAGAAGAAACTTGCATGAGGATCGATCGAAAACTTGGATGACCAAGGATCATAGGTTTTTGCCCTGTAAAGGTCATATGCGTGTGGAAGCACACGCATAAAAGTGATTCCAAGGTAAAATGACCAAGAAGAGCACTTTCCTTTGAGTTGAGAAAAATGTTGAGGAGGACTTGAGGGAAAACAAAGCAATCAAGAACTAGACCGGCATAGGATCTTAAACAGCCCCAAAGAAAATGCTTTACAATGTGAAGTTGGTTCTGCTTGACGTTCATGAACAGAGCAACAAAGCCCCCTGCTATGTATAATGGTGAACAAGCAAGGAACACTTTCTTCTCAGCAACCCAGGAAGCCTTGAGGTTGCGATCATGCAACTGTGTGTACCATTTCAGCTGGAGGAGACGTTGATGGAACAAGAAAGCCAGCAGCATGACAACCCGTACAGCTATCTCATTCACCTCAATCAGACGGGACGTAACCATGAGACAAGAGACGTAACCACTCCTTCCAAGAAGCTC